GAATTCATTGTTTCAAACGCCTAGCTTTCAAATTTTGGCGTAATCACCTCAATTCAAGACAATTAGCCACACATACCCATATTAATTACCTACCTCGGACCAAAGATCCTAACAATTGAAAGCCCCAAAGTCCCAATGATCCCAATAGCTTAATATTCAATATTAGTTGAGTAGAATAATTTGGTGAGTTTTTGGAGTCAAATATATGCATGTAAGTACAAATTCTTTCTATCTTTAACTTGCAAATATTGGATACTTGAAGCAATTGTATGATTTGTGGTTTTTGGTAATAGTGAGTGACTAAGTGCCGTTGAATGTTAAGCTTACGAAGACCTAGGAATTGTCATCATAATTGCAAGTTCTGAAAACGCGAAGTTGATCAATCAACCTATGTGATGAGATGTATAGTCGAGTTTTGTGCTCATAAATTGATTTTACTTGAGGACAAGCAAAAGTTCAAGTTTGGGGGTGTGTTAAGTGTATATTTTTTACACTTAATTGTACCTTTTAATTGGAGCTTTTGGTGCTTAAAATGGTTATTATTTGTATTTTAGGTACAAATTGAAGAATTGGCAACTTATGGGATAAAAACTGCAAATTCGGAGAAAAAGTGGGCCAAAAGTAAAAAAATCAAAACTCTAAAGAATTAAAGACCGGACGGCCGTCCGGATTTCAGAACTAATTCTCGCACGGCCGTCCGGATCCACGCAGTGGCGCAGTGAAGGAAGTTTAATTACACAAGGAAACCGTCCTCTTATATTTTTACACCCTATTTAAAGGCCAAATAGCACACAGTTAGGAATCTATCTTTTATTTTTTTACACGCAATTTAGGAGCGAGAGAACGGAGCAACGAAGACGAAGACTTGACAAATCTTCATCATAGTTCTCCCTTTACTTTTATTTTTCGATTTTTATGAACTTTCGTATTTTTATTATGCTTTTCGTAGAGAACATGTGTAGCTAAGTTTTTTTTAATCTAGGATTTTGTTGGAACCCTATGTGGTGATTCGAACCTATTTTTCTAATATTATGCAAGTTTAAATTCTTCGATTATTTCTTCTATTTTGATCTTATTTAGCGCATGAACGTAGCTAATTTATGTTGCTATGTGTTATTGTTAGAATTGAATCGACAGATCGTTTTAATAATTAGAACAGGATAAAAGAGCCTTCTTTCATTATTAGAATTTTCTTTTGTTAGCTTTCATGGTAATTTTTTTTTTTTGTAGATTATGTTGATTTTGAAGAGTTTTTATTGGTAATTATACTGCATTTGCATACTTATAATACTGCTAAGAATAAAATATTACCATTGTTTAGAGTAATTTTCATATATGTATCTTTGTTGTTGATAATATTGGTCCGATACACGCGTCTCATATCTTATGATATGGCGAAGTTTCTATTCTAATGCCATTTACAACGACATTGTGACGCGTATCACGCAGACTCATCCTTATACAAAGTGTGTGTATGTACTATTGTACTGTCACTCACAGAGTTATTTTTAACTTTTGTGCTTCACATGTTGATAATGATGTTGTGGTGAACACCCTCATCCCTCATAAGAGAGGAATAAGTCATCTCCACTCTAAATTCTGTAAATGAACAAAATGCAGCATATCTCAACACCAACACAATAGAAGTAAGCATCCTATAATCCCTCATAAACATACTATATTGTCATCAACAACAACATTATATAACACGTACAAGAAATGCAACACAAAAAGCATTAACAGTACAATCCCATGTTAACATAATTATCCTGTGAACAACAATCACAATACAATGCGACACAGTCCCATCCCAAAAGCATTAACATAATTATTTATACAGTCACAAACAGTACAAACAGTATATTACATAATAGAGCTCCCTTAATCGAGAATTTCACATATACATTCAATCATATTGTCACTAACTAAAATGTTATGTATAACATACCATTATGCATACACGAATTCAACACAAACGAGCTCCACATAACAAAAAGTTTAAGAAAACTGCATCTCCCAATAGCACAATAGAAAAATCACTGATACAATATTTGCACACACATTTAAAGAACGAAATACAAACGGAAAAGAAAATGAAAATTAAACTCCAATGAGCTCAAAAAACGAAAATAATTCAAAGTGTCATCTCACTTTGAAGACAAAATACACTAAAAACAAAGACAATTGCGAAAAACTCAAAATCAGCCACACATATTCAGTACCATACATCATTATGTTTGATTTTCACAATTTGTTTACATACCTAGTTCAATAATCAACGCCACGAACTAAAATTACAAAGAAAATATAAACACAATAATATTATTATCAACCACATCAATATTTTTTTTTTGCCTTTTTATTTCATTAGATCTGTTGACCGATTAACATAATAATATTATTGTCTACTATTGTAATATTACTGTAAAAAAAATAATACTACTGTGTTTGACGGTAATATTACTGTCGTTACATACAATAATATTACTGTGGTTGATAGTAATATTACCGTCAACCACATCAATACTAATTCCTTTAGATTTTTGTTATGTTTACCTTCGTTGAACGGTCAACATATTAATATTACTCTATCAGACAATAATAGTTATTTTTGTTGTGTCAATATTACTGTGCTGGAGAGTAATACAACAATATTTACTGTGTTAAACAGTAATATAGTTAATATAATTGTCAACCACAACAATATTACAGTTTAAACGGGCCAAAAAATGTTGAAGAAAAGAAATTTATAAAAAAATGTCAAACCGCCGGTCAGTAGTGCCAACAAAAAAGAAATAAAAAATAAAAAAAAAAGCCAACGCCGGAAATTTGCGGAAAAGACAAACAGAAAAAAAAGTCAACAGCGGCGACGGGCGAAATTGTAGTCAAAATTGGGTTAGGGGTCAAAATTGAATAATTGGTAAAATTAAGGGTTAAATTGAATTAAATGAAGAAATTTGAGCATATTAATACGTGCGATGGTATTTTAGTGTTTTACACATCTCTAGACATTGTTTAGATATTTTTTTTGTAAAATTGTTTTTTTGTCTGATCCCCTTTATAAATAAATAGCCATGATGGACTTGTTTGTAATAGACCCTTTATTTTATTGAAAATAATAAAAATTCAACAAAATAAAAAAATTAACTTATATAAAAGATACTCTCCTAAATATTCAATAGGCGAATGGCAAATAGGTCAATTACATGGACTTAAATGCACATTGGTTCACAAAAAAAAAATAGTTTTTCAAATAAACACATCCCATGTCTTTAGTCTAAAATACCCTCCATAATATAATTCTTATCAATTTCATCCATCATGCTCTAACTTCCTTAATATTACACATTGACCCCGAATTTAAACAAATATATCACATTAACCCCAAAAATAATAATTTTTTGAAAAAATATTTTTTTTTCTGAAATTTTTTTTCCGGCCAGATTCCGGCGTTGACCTTTTTTTTATTGAAAACTTTTTTTTTCTGAAATTTTTTTCCAGCTGGTCTCCGACGTTGACTTTTTTTTTTCTTTTTTTGAATTTTTTTTTCTTAGAAATATATATTTTAATTAATATTACTGTCTTGGCTACTAAATTACTGTCTCAGACAGTAATATTACTGTTTGGCACAGTAATATTATGAATATTATTTTCCCGAACAGTAATATTATTAACATTACTGTCTGAACAATTAAATTACTGTTGCAGACAGTAATTTAGCAGCCAAGACAGTAATATTAATTAAAAAAATCTTTATTAAGAAAAAAAAATTCAAAAAAAAAAGTCAATTAACAGTTAAATTACTGTCTTCGACAGTTAAATAACTGCTGCAGATAGTAATTTAGCAGCCAAGACAGTAATATTAATTAAAAACATTTTTTATAAGAAAAAAAAAGTCAATTAACAGTTAAATTACTGTCTCCGACAGTTAAATAACTGACGGAGACAGTAATTTAGCAAGATAGTGATATTAATTAAAATATTTTTGAAGAAAAAAAAAGTCAATTAATAGTTAAATTACTGTCTCCGACAGTTAAATAAATGTAGGAGACAGTAATTTAGTAGCCAAGACAGTAATATTAATTAAAATATATTTTTTAAGAAAACACAAAATTATTATAAAAAAAAAAAAGGTCAACGCCGGAGACTCGGCGGTTGACTATTCGGAAAAATTGAAATGGCGGGTCAAAATTGAGGTCAAAATTAAATTATGGTTAAAATTGGTTAATTGATGAAATTGGGCTAAATTGGGGTGTAAATCATGAAATTGGAGTTGAATTGAGTTTCAATGAATTGGGGGTAATTTTAGTATATATAAAAGGATTTTCCTTATTTGCAAATAAGTTTGAATGGGCTAGATTTAATTGAAAGACAAAAAAGTTGGATGTCCATGTTTTAATTAAGTGCCCTTGTCATGGACATATTTGCCATTTGCCCTATTTAATAAAGGGGCTATTTGAAAAACTCCTCATTGAATTTTGACTTCATGATAAATCCATTTTTATTAAATGATATTTGTTATAAACACAATTGACTCGAATTATCCAAAAAATAACTCTTAATATTACTAAAAGTTACCATATTATATTATTATAGAAAATAAATTATTTTTTTAAATATGCAAATCCCCTTAGGCCTCATTTGGTTCGTGTGATGGGTTTGAATGGGATTCTATCAACCCACTAGGATTACACTGTGTAGGGATACAAATTAAATTAGTTAATCTCTTGTTTGGTTCGACTGTTTCAGCTTCAAGATAGATGCATGGACTGGATCATTCTTGTGTTTGGCTCAATGGTTAGGGTTGGATAAGTATAGAAAAACCTATATTGCCCCTGCTCGATGCTCCCAACCCCTATAAATGAATTATTTCCATTTTTTTCCAGCTTTGTCTCTATTTTTTTTTAATTGTTGCGAATATCTGTACTAAACACGAAAATTTTATTCTAATATTTTTAATCCGATGGGTAGCACAACAGTTCAAACGGTTTTCATGGACAGAGACGAAGTGTGGCGTCTCAACACCACATTACCACATATTTTTTTTTAACTCAAATTAAATTAATTCAACTTGATTATACGCAACATTGAGCAGTACATAAATTCAAAACAGCCTCAGCACAACTGCTGCCACAAAAGTATTTTATCTGGTAACTAGCAATCACTACAACATAATTAAAACAAAAACAAAAGCAAAATACTTATTCACATCCAGAAACTACACATATGAGTCCGATCCGCTTTACTTCTCAGATGAGTTTGGTCCCCTCTTCTTCCCGAAGTCAACATTAACGCTAACAAAACGGCCGTTGTACTGCATATGCTTGTGGGTGTGGCCACAAGGCTTCTTCTTCTGGTCTTGCACTCCTGCTTCGCCACCTTGGGAGTCTGTCTTCTCACGAGCCAACGAACCGTGTACCTTGCCCATGTTTGTGTTTGATTGATTAACAGCTTCCCCATCTTCTCTTTTGTTTTATTTTCTTCAAGCAATTACCATCAATACTTGATAATTACATACATTTTCCCATGATTTTGCAAAGAATAGAAATGTTTGTACTAAATTGATCCAGATAACAACAAGCATATAAGGATCTCAAAAGCTAATAGCCATAGGAATTCATTGTACCGCATCAACTGAATTACTTCTAACTACTTCTAACTGCATATATGTAATGTGTTTCAAAAGCAGTTAACAAGGCAAATAGTTTCTTGTTAAACACAGATTACAGTTACAGAAAACTAAATAATTAAGACATTTAACTTCAGCTAATTCCTTCATCGGTAGCAACAAAAAGAACCTTTCAATGTTAGACTAATTAATAGAAATCCTACTCATTGATTTTTTTCGGTACCTTTCTTTTATTCTCACTTTGTTCTATGCAATCTACTTCTAGCCCAGATTGCACCATATACACCGACCTTCCAATTTGTCACGAAAACAAACAAGGCAATGAGGCATTGTTATTGCTCTTGTGTAAAAACGGCTGACTAAGAGTAATCACAATCTATTTATCCAGCAACAACAGACATTAAAACTTTTTCCGACTGCCCTCCACAAATTACCTTGTGCTCCAAGAGCTGATTAACAGAAATATTGGATTAACTCCTATTATAAAAATTGCGTCTTATTGGTAGTCGAAACAATATGCACATTACAGGTATTTAGAGCTCATTTTCTCATATCTGCCAAATTGTGGAAAGAAGATCAACAATCCAATTTCTTTGCCAAAACTAATTGCAGTGGTACTATCGTGTTTTGCATAAATTACGACATATACATGATTCAATGTGCAAAGAAATTAATATTATAAAAGACCCATGTGAATTTTACTTAAAGTCAAATTCAGCTGCCACTATACTATTGAATTTGGGGAAAAAAGACCTTTTTTTCTAGCTAAATTTTCCAATACGATTTTTTTATTCAATCTTTTCATCTCAGTTGATATAAAAGATTCAAATATAAATCATGAACGTCCGGATTCCTCAAGTAACAAAAAAGAGAAATTTGAAAAAATAAAAATTCACATAAATTAGGAAAATTAACACCGAGAATCACACACTAAGAGAGAAAAAAATGCGTTTATATGGATACACACATACATACACCACATAAAGATAAATAAGTATGAATGGATACACACACACACGCACACACACATACCTGAACTGTTGATGGCTGAACTCTGCTTTTAGCTGTAACCAATTGCAGTCGGGGCAACAACTTACGGTTTCCACGCAGTTCTGTACGCTCCTCGCAACTATACCGTTTCTCAAATAAGGTGACTTCAGATTCCGGCGACGGGCATGGGTTCACATTGAATTCCAGTGGCTTTTCTCGGAAGTCAATCAGATAGGGAGAGAGAGAGGCATTAGGTCGAGAAGATTCGATTTGAGGGAGAAAAATGTTTTATATACCTGTGTAGATCGTAATAAAAATTTGTATTGAGGGTCAAAAAGTAATTTCTTGTGTAGTTTAGTGTGGATGATGGATGGGATTACATATACCCACCTCTCCTGGCTGGATGATTTATCCGGAAAATGAAGGACTCAGACCCAGGCCCATAATCAATACCGGGCCCGCATCATGTGAACCAAATGACTGTACCGAGTGGATTATATTGTCAATCAGGTATAATCATACGAACCAAATGGGGCCTTAATATCTCCCATATCACGCCATTTCAGTTTTTATTTTTCCTCTTTTTTTTTATTATTATTTATTTTTTAATAGTTTTCTTTATTTCAATTTAAAAAAATTTAGTTATTTTTTATTTTTTTTGTTTTTTTCTTTCGAGTTTTTGTTTTAAATCTTTTTTACTTACATTTTTCATAATTTTCATTTTGATTTAAAAAAAAATAGTTTTATTTTTATTTCGTTTTTGAATGGTTTTTTTTCCTAATTTCAATTTTCTTAAATGGTTTTTCGCCCCTATTTTTTTGGATAGAAAAAATATTTTATTTAATTATTTTTTTATTAATTTTTTTTTAATATCTAAAAATAATCTAGCAGGTTTATGAAAGTGGAATTCGCTATACAGTTATTGAACAATAACTCTACTACAATTGTTTTTGAAAGTCACTATCAATTTATCGAAACCCACTACGAACTAGTCGAAATCCACTATAAATTTATTGAAAATCATTATAAATGTATCGAAACCCACTACAAACATGTCGAAATCCACTATAAACATATCGAAATCTACTATAAATTTGTTAAAATCCACTACAAACTTACCGAAATCCTTTATAAATTTGTTGAAATCCATTGATCGAAATCCACTATAAATTTGTTGAAATCCACTATAAATTTATCGAAATCTAGTATAAATTTATCAAAATTCACTACAAATTAGTAGAATTTCGTGTAGTGGATTCTACTTTGATAAAGCTGCTGGATTTTTTTTTAAATAGTAACAAAAAAAATAATTTTTTTAATCGTAATAATAAAAAAATTAATAAAAAATAATTAAACAAAACTTTTTTATTCAAAAAAACTGGAATAAAATATAAAATAAAATTTAAAAAAATCGAAATTAAGAAGAAAACCATTAAAAATGAAAACAAAACATAAGACCATTTTTTTTAAATCAAAATGAAAAACTGAAAAATATATATAAGAATAAAACAATTTAAAATAAAAACTGAAAAAAAAAACTTAATTAAAAAATTAAACAAAATAATCAATTTATGTATTAATTAAAATAAAGAAAAACATTAAAAAATAAAAAAATAAAAAGGAAAAACATAAATTGACGTGAGATGGGGAGGAATTAGAACTAATACTAATACTAATATCATACGCATACGAATACTAATACTAATACTAATACTAATCCTAATACAAATACTAATACTAACACTAATACAAATACTAATATTTGTTTTGATACGAATATTAATATTAATACTAATACTAATACCAATATTGATATTGATACTGATATTAATACTAATATTAACATTGATGCTGATAGTGTTACTAATATTGATGCTCATACTAATACTAAAATTGATATCACTATTGATACTAATACTAATACTAATACTAATACTAATACTAATACTAGTACTAATACTAATACTAATACTAATACTAATACTAATACTAATACTAATACTAATACTAATACTAAGACTAATACTAATACTAATACTAATACTAATACTAATATTAATACTAATAATTATACTAATTATATACTAATATTAATACTTATACTTATACTTATACTGATATTGTACTGATATTGATACTATAATGATATGATACTGATATATAC